AAATCGATTGCGGGTTAAAAGACTATTTTGCCGTATGAGTATACGTTGCCCAGGGTGCACCATATGGGGAAGTCTATTCCGCACCCAGCCATGATTATAGAAACGGATAAAATCATTTCTATAGAAGAAATGTCATTGGGCCCGAAAAAGTACAGCTATGGCTGTGGTAGCTCACAATTCTTGTATAATTAATAAGAAGGTGACACTGCTTATATGTGGCTTTCTATTTATGAGATTTATTAGTTTCCTGGATCACTTAGAAAATTAGAAGCAACTAGCATAGGACAGAGCAATTTTATTACGGTATTACCCTTCTTTGGTGAACGAATTACTTTATCATAAGGGAGGAATGGTAAAGATACTAGTAGAATACTAACGTTCTGTTGGAATAGGGAGTAGGTGCCAATCTCATAAATGATAAATAAAAATGCTGACAAATTGGTAAATAGGACAACTATAAACATCTTTACAGATGAGAGATGGATTAGATATAGAACTAGGATAAAGCAATCATCACCAAATCAGAAGGTCGCTACAAGCCAGTAATATGGTAGTGAGAAGACTAGCAAATGCTCTTCACGAAATTTTATGAAATCGAGTGAGAGCCCTAAAAATATTCAAACTGCTTCCTGAAAGTTGACATTTTTCAGGTATTAAAAATTGAAATGGAACTACACTTTCTGATGTTTTTTAGAAAAAATTGTATTCACTTTGTTTATCAGGTTTAATTTCTTAACTGGACGTATTACTTATTAATTGAAAAACAGAGATGGGCTCTATTTCATGGCAAGCGATACTTAAACTTTAACTTTAAGAAATAGGGGATAGATGGTGGAGAGAATCGATAAATTGCCGAAATTTCAAGGAGGTGATACGGACGTAATTGAGCGAACCTCAATACCAAGGCAATAGAAAAGTTGACTATATAGCTAACTGATTTAAAGCTACACTTAACACTGGTCACAACGTTAATAAATGACCACACTGCTGATTCAGACTGAATAAATTAGAAATCACATTCGAAAGTTTTAAAGTGTCTCAAAGTTGAATAAAATAAGATGGGCTTAAATTCAAAAAATGACCGAAATTACCTTCTCATTTAGAAGATCACAGTGCTTAAATTTAAACTAATAGTATTACCTTTAAATGACGCAATAAATGTTATTTAAGTAGCATGATCGTCTGCAATCATTTAGAGTGAAAATGCATTTTATTTTGAAGTAGTTTTAGAGGTTTGTAGCTGTTTCAGATTCCGTTTAAACTGTAACTTCAAGTATTTTCGCTTTTGAGCATTCTTAACTCGACGAGTTAACTGGATTGAGACATGCAAAATATCCGGTATGTCTGTTTCTATAAATTTAGTAATGGAAGACAATTGGTAAATGAACGACAACTACAGAAACGTGAGTAGACGCCAGATATTGTCATTATGTCTTCAACGTTATATCATGGTAATTAAATTTAAAGAATATTTAATTCAAGTCTTACTCAACGTTTTATGGTTTTAGTCATCGTACAAGTGGAAAGGGTTGTCCATTAATGAGCACTTTAATTTAGCATAATTGCAACAAGTACCTGAGTTGGAAAGGGAGTTTGGAGTAACGTTAAAAGCATTTTAATATTAGTAAATGAAACTATAATCACTTGATGTGCTATTTAGTAATTAAATAAACTTGCAGGAAAAGTTGATTCACTACCATTGCCCTAGAGTCAAGGTAAATAAGGGAATACCTTTGATCCTTACAATGCATAACACAATTGCAACTTCACCAAAGATGAGTAAACATTCCGCATATGGGTAAATGAATATAGTCAGGTAAACAAATTTCTGACATTTTATTTTAGAATATAGCATAAATAATTGAAGCTGTTTACTGCATAATTTCTTCAGCAAACACTGAATTTTTCAAAATTTAAGATCTCAATTGTGTAGTTTACTGAACCATGCCTTCCATCAATTCAGCTCCCTGCAGGTTTAAAGATACTTAAAATTCCAATTGTAAAATGAAAATTTAAAGGTGCTTGATTGGTATCTTCGTTCACAGAAAATACCCTTCTAAAACGATAAAGCCGTTTTCTAACAATTTTATTCATAATAATGCCTCAGAGTTTCTTTGGAAAAAAACCAACGAAATTTCAATTATACCCGAAACTTATAAATAAAATTTTCCCTTGCTCTAGACCGCTTAGGCACAGACTTGGAACGACATCAAAAATATTTAATATCAAAATCATCAAGCTTAATTTGGAATCAAAAAGTGCTTCCAAAGATTATCATAAGTATAAAAAGCACTACCTAACAGAAAATGAATGCTGCAATACCAAATACTTGTTGCTCAAATAAAAAATAACAACGATATGGCCATTCATAAAAAATGTATCGCAACACTTCGTCCCCTAATAGTGACTAGTTTTTGCAACAAAGTTCACCGAAAAATACAAATAAATGCAAATTATTCCTCTTTAATTTAAAGTCATGTAAAATGTCGGAATTCCAAAGAAATTTAAAAGCTTTCAAATATACCACTCTTGTTAGAACTCAATAGACAAAGAGCCACTCAAGCTATGCTTAAAACTGTTTTCATAACCTAAATATTTGTATTTAATTTTCTCATCACCAAAGTGAAAGTCGTATCACAAGGAAGGGAACTTTCTACTTGATCAAATATTAGTTTCTTTCTCTACAATATAGCAGACTAAAAATTGGTAAAGTTTCTTTTTCGAGTCCCCAAACATATATTGAATTCTGATATTCTAAAATGGCCAGAGAAGCATTTAGAACAATTTGAACTCTTGAATTGAATGCAAAAGTTGCATGGGTTTCAACTTCTTTTCTAAAGTGTTTAATTGGTAATCTAATAAAATAACCTTTGAAAGATCAAACAACATCAATACTTTTTTGAGACCAAACAAGATGGAATTTGCTAAATTTGTGAAATAAAATATGATACTCGAAATAGGTTTTTCCTTTCGACCGATGTTCATTAACGTTTACTCATAGAAATCGTAAACTTAAGTGGATTAGTGATCACATGAAGGGAAAAGCGAGTGAGTTACCGACTGCTCTTGATTTTGAACTATATTGGAGAAAATTATATGAAAATAAAAGATGCTTATTAAGAGGGAAAGCCTGTGATTATTGGTCAAAGCAAACAATGTAGCTCCTACAACTTTTATTGGGTACATTTAATTCAATTTTCTTTAAACTGGATCAATTAAGAGGTTTCTTTGGAGCGCCCTTCACGCATAAAAGGGAGTAGGGAAGATAAACAGGTCAATTTAGTGGGGCTAAACTTGAAACAGAAAGCAACGGTGTTGTGAAGTAAGAAATAAACTTATTTTTAATTCGCCAATTTTGCTAGTGGTTTTAAGTCACTGCTTTTGATATTTTTAAGTGACATCTTTGTTGAAAATAGTTGAGTTATCAAAAAACCCTACGTTTGAAACTTAGGATTTCATTATATAATGAATTATATGGATTCAAATAACGAATGTACAGCTATACAAATCCATAATCAAATGAAACAAGTTTTATTTGATCGCTTTCTTAGGTCTTTTTCACCTATTTGTTGAGTTCATTACAATTCTTTTGTTCTGTTGCGTTCCAAAGAACAAGAAGACAAACTTTATTTTCTATTGCAAATGCGTGTATTGTAAGATAGCACACATTTGCGTTACGTCGAAAAGCCATCTTAACTCTAGTGCTAAGAAGAGAAAAAATTACTTACTTAATCGCGAAAGTAGATTTTATGTAGCCAAAAATGATATGTGACTTTGCATAAAACCTTGTATCTAAACCAAAATCTAAATAATATTATTTGACATTCACGAACCTGACATCTTTTCTAACAGGTAGAGCAAAAGTAACCAATAAAACTGCCAAATTATAGTATCTATTGTCTCAGAAGGCGACTGCTCTTTTGCTCAAACATATTTCATTTGAGATTTACAAGTGAATGTTATCATTTATATCATAAAAAAGGACAGAATTATGAGGGAAACTAACTTTAGAGTATAAGGGCAAAGCAGATAAACATTTCTTTAATCTGCATCACCTTAATCATTTTACATAAACTGCCACCTCACATAATATTTTGATTTTATGTAAATTGGCTAAACAGATATTCTGATCAAATATGTGAGCAAAGTTCTTTATATATCGCAGTGTTGGCTTAAATATGCATTACTATTTAACATCTGGATTAAGTATTTCCTTGCCAAGTTTGCTAAGATATTATCTGTAAGATTTTAACTAAGTTGACAAATAAAATTTCGTTGGAGATATCATAGGTAAGTTAAATTTTCTTAAATAATTGAGTAGATAAATACCGATTAGAAGAAAGAAAAACATTTAGAGATTTATCCAATAGCCTATAATCATATAAATATATCTTTTTTGAATGAAACAAAAGTTATACTATTGTTAATGATGTTAATATGTTAAAATAAAGGCAGTGATACAGTTTTGTCATTAAGAAATGAGATTTTGCGGATCCTAAAAATAGTGCAAGACTATATTGAATATTATTTAAGGTACTACGGTATAGTTTATAAAATCCGACTATTCAAGTCTGAAGAAAGTTTGGTTTTATCACTACTTATATCTTACCGAAACAACAGTGCGTGATTCAATCTTTTCTGAACGCCAATGAATAGAAGGGTAGGAATAGCCGGAATCAAGGAGCGAGCCCAGAGGCAAGCTGCCTATGAAAAAAAGCGCAGACAAATGGACGATGATGCCGCCGCACACCTTCATCGACAGATGGAAACGGTCAAGTCATCGTTGGAATACTTTGCCTCCAAATACCAGTCGAAAATTCGGCAAGATCCATCGTTTCGTACAGAATTCCAATCCATGTGTGCAAATATTGGTGTCGATCCTCTTGCTTCTAGTAACGGCGTGTGGTCAAAGATCTTGGGCATTGGCGACTTCTACTACCACCTTGCTGTTCGAATCATTGAGGTAAATTCAATATTTTTTCCTCATAGTTTGGACATAGTTTTTATATTTGTTCTCCTTCTCTCTCATGCTATTTTAAAACTTATAGGTATGCATGGCGAATCAGAGAAAAACTGGCGGCCTAATGCCTCTCGAGGAGCTAATATCCGAATTGAATAAAACCAAGAGTTCTCGTGAGACCGATATTTGCCAAGACGATGTGGTACGAGCCATAAAGAAACTCCACTGCCTTGGCAACGGTTTCAAACTAATTAATCTTTCTGGTTCTCGTCAGTTGGTCCAGTCTGTTCCCGGTGAACTTAACACGGATCAGACTCAAGTCTTACAGTTGGCGGAATCCCGTGAAGCCCATGTTAGCTTATCAACCTGCACACGAAAGTAGGCATTCTTTTGGAATTTAATTTCACGTGTCCCTCTTTTTGACCATTATTGCTTTCTTTCAGACTGGGATGGACTGAAGGTCGTGCTAAGTCGGCTCTAGAATATCTAATGCAGGAAGGAATGGCTTGGGTTGATGACGGAAATGAATGTGGAGAAAGATGTTACTGGTTTCCAAGTTTACTTTCTACTGAAACTAATTGATGCTTTTCGTCTTGTTTTTTTTCCTGTAAATTTTATACCGTTTCCCTTACTTTTGAGTTTCAATATATGCATTGATACATTTTTTGAATGCTTACATGTTCATATTCTCGGCTGTTTTTCTCAACAATATTATCACCTTTTTTATGTTAATTATAATCTGTTGTTGATGAAGCAAAACATTACTGACTAATCTTGGATTTTAAGGTGTATTACCTGACGGTGACCAGCTGCTGAACAAAGAGAAGAAAACAATTTCTTAGCGCCTTTCTTATTGAGATCATTTCTTTTAACTGACCACTTATTATTTGCTGGAATAGGATAATAACCAAGAGTCATTGCAAGAGTTACCGAATGGGTTTATCTTGGTGCTTCGCAATTATACACAATCTATCTATCGGTGAATATCTAATAATTAGTTGCTACCTGTAGAAGAGAGGGGTGTTGAAGTGACTTCCACCCAGAGTGACACTTGTCTTAGCATTGGCATACGGCACATTTAAAAATACAAAATTGAATGAAACTAGGACACTTCAATTATTTCGTAATCCCAATGAAGCCAGATTTTCTTGATGCCCCTCTGGACTTATTGCAGCTACTGTTCTGAAGAACCATGCCACCAATTTAAGACCTAATGAAGCAGATTAAAGAAAATAAGACAGTAGCTGATTGTTAATAATAGAAATCAATTATTTCAAAAAGTCGAATACAAAATTATGCGTTCCAACTCGCATTGAGTAACCCATGATGAGGAGTAAGAGTGGGGAAGCGCACGAGCAATTAAGTGGCAAGTGCGGGACTCTGTGGGTGCATTTGAGTGGAGTGGAATTACAAAGAAAGCTTTTAGTCACTTTGACGCACGTTAGATAGGAATGCAAATGCACTTCTAACTGAAATGGGGAAGAGAGTGAATCGAAAAAACTAGTCTAGATATAATGAATAGGGATTTGAGTCATGGGGACATAAAGACGAAAGCGGCGTGATTTCATAAGCGATATAAAATGTAGTCTTGAAAGTAGTACGGATTCATCCACCATCCAGCTTTACTTTTACTTCTGTCAACTTAATTTATGGTAATTTACTCATGATATAATCATTCTTGTGCTCTGTCGTTTGGAGAAGGAACAATTCATAATGAAAGTAAATAGTCTATTTTCTTATAGTTCTCTAATTTAATTATCTTAATTAGTTATTTAAATCACTCCTCAAGGGCAAGATAATCTCAACTCTCTTTTTCAATAGGTTGATAATATGTTTGAGTAGGTTTTATTGGCCAAACGTAGGCTGACGAATGTTCACTTGCCCTTCAAAAGTCCAAGGAGTACAAATCTAAATAAGGGCGGATCATACCTAAAGGATCGTATCAACTGTGCGGTACTATTCTCAACGTCATGGCCCAAGTACAAAAAGCTCAAAATGCAAGACTCTCTGATTTTTCCACAACTCTCAGACGCACGCAACCCAAGCGGATCCTAATGAAGGACTTAGTGATTAAGAAGGGCTTGGAAAGGCCAACTGGATATTTCTTCATGGTGGTCACTTCTCCTATGAAACGGGAATCTGACCCAGTCCCAGAAAATTTCGTTTATCAGGGTCTTTTCTCTCCGGAAATAGAGAGTGCACCATGGGTCATTGTTCGAGACCGCTATCACAAAGACCAAATGATTACTTTCCCGATTACTCTGTGTGGAGGCGTGTATGAGAGCCTACAAACTATGGTTTCTAAGAGAAATGGAGATTGGTCATTTGATGTCACCAAGCTCCAAAAATTCCAACTGATGGAGTCAATCTTGAACAACTTTATTGACTGTCCAAATGAAACGGTGCAGAATGAGATTTCTGCTGATGCTGACTCAAAAGATAAGTCAGACGTACTAAGTGATGATGAAAAAAAGAGGGTCTGGCTAAGATCAGGTCCTGTTAACCCTCCTGAACCAAAAGCGGACCTGCCCCCTCATAAGAGAACCACTTATTTGCGAGTCTATGAAGAACTCGTCCCTAATCTTTTAGCCTTTTTGCGTAAGTCCCTTAATCCCAGACTTCGTTGTATTTCGATGGTCTCTTGCGGAATTCCTTTTGCATTTTAGTTGATATTAAAACACGCTATTCTCAGCGTGATGTTAGCCCCGAAAAGGCTGTTTCAATGTTATCTGATTCTGGAGAACGAAGGTTTTTCTTTGATGTGCGTAATACACGATACGGCTATCGCCTACATATATCTCAAGTGTCTAACAAGAACCGAATGGTAATTGGAATACCACTGGAGTCAGTTGTTATGGCTAGAAACTGTCTGAATGAGGTAATTGAGAACTACAGTCTGGCAGAGGACAACGACCGAGCAACTCTTCGCAAGTACTGCCAGAATGTCATCCTTGTCAGGAGAAATAGGAGAAGCGACAAGAGCTGCTCTGGTGAGAATGAAAATGCCGATAAGTCTACTTCACCTCCAACAGCTAATGCGAATGGGAAGAAAATTGTGACCGGAAACAAGCGCTCATGAAGATACACAAAAACAATCACTTTGGCCGCTCTCTAATTCGATCATCTGATTTGCTCTTTATAGCTCTAAGGCAATGCTTAATTTTATAAACAGATTCCTACTTATTCCTAAACTTGTTGTTTTTCTGAGAAAGGAAAGTTAATGTTGGGAGCCATGTAAGCAATATACACAACTCAGGTTTAACGAAGTAAAATCATCGTGAGAATTCAGTATTTTGATTTGACTTCAAGCTCACAAATTAAGAGCTGCTTTTATTATAAAGATTCTGCTTATTTTCAAACATGGGGTTTTTATCTGGCAGGCATTTAATATTTATTCAGTCATTCTAATTATTCTCCAGGAATATTCGGCTTCTTCTGGTTAGTTTCTGACAATATTTTAGTTGCCATCTTCACATTTTATCGAGAATCGAAAATCCGCCCGTATTGCTACGACGTTGAAATATGTCATGGATGAACGAAGAAATTTCGTGCTCACTTAGGCAGACTCGAAGGTACGCCGCGCTGATAGCGAATGGGGCCGTAAGATCGGAGACCTCTCAACCTGTCGCTTAATTTATCAAGACCTATATTAAATTTTAAGGACTAAGTTCAATGTCTGTCAAATCACAGCCTAAATAAATGTATTCTACTCATTACATCTGTTTTCTCTAACTTTGTGGTAGCTTATCTAATCCGAGAAACCTTTCCAAACTAGAAGTTCTTACTGTCGAAATTCCTGAGCATTTATTTATATTAAATGGCAGGCTTTATGATAGTTGTCATTAAGCCTTAAGTTGACTTCGGGCCTCATAGAGGATAGGAACAGATAAAGCCACAAAATATCGATAGGGGGGAAGGGAACAGAGGAGTGATTCAAAGATGTAAAAGAGACGGACACAAAGGTAGAGAAAAGGTAAGGTGAGGAGAGTACTGTGGAAGTAGCCGACTATGACATACAGTGGGGTCATGGTAGTTTGAAGTGAGAAGTCAACTGCCGGTTAATAGACTTATAAGCCGTATGAATATACGTTGCCCAAGCTGCACCACGTGGTGGTAAGTCTATCGCGCACTCCAATTAGTGAGCATAAGTCAGGGGTTATTGGTGTATCAGACTGCTACAATGCTTTCCAGGAAATCCTAACGTCACGAGGTTAATTCCTAATTCAGAAATAGTTGGTTTGTTTTACAATGCTCCTAGCTATGTTCATCTTATTGGTAGTCATTGAAATATTGGAATACATGAATTCGTCAGGTAATGATTTTTCCATTCAATTCCCATCTAAAATTCCAAGCCAGTACAACCACTATGTCCTAAATATTCGCATCGTACCCATAGTACCTGAAGAATCGAAATCCAGATATATTCTGTACAGGCCTCAAACCTATCAATTCCATAAGAATCGATAATTAAAAGCTGAAAATTTGGTCACCCTGTTTCCCCTGTCTTAGTTTGGCCAATTTTTTTTTCAAATTATCTACTAATTATAGTATAAGGATTGATTCGATTGTGTTTGTTAAATCGATTCACTCTAGCATTAGTAGGCTAGCATGCTTCCCCCTCTGTTTATCGATCAATTATTGAACAACTCATTTTCAACTATCTATTTACTATTCAGCGTTATAAGCCACCATGTGGCCAACCACAGTGAAGATTTAATCGTAACTTATCGCTGTCGTTTTAATAACTTATGCAGCAGAATTTTTAATCAAATTAAATATTACCAAATATTGGCATACATCCTATTTAAGACCATGAAACCTCTTTTTCAAGATTAGAATTATCCTCTTCATTTTGTACATTCGAATACAAGATTTAAAGGGTCAGAAAATTTAGATCTATTTTAAACTTTATCAAAAAATACTGATAAAAGTACTACGAAAATTTTGAACCGTTTTCATATAGTAGTAATCAAGACAAACCTGAGTTCTGCTTGCTATTTTTTTCAAAATTGCTCGAAATTATGAAAAGTGTGCAATATTCTTGTAAGTCCTTTAAACCTGTAGTCATGTTCGTTTACCCAAATGAGCATCTACTACTTTTAATTGGATCAAGAGGATCTAGGTTCCATTAATTACTACTAGACCAAAAAATGTTTCAACTGTCACCTCATAAAACGCATTCACCTGTACCAATCTTTCAAATTTAAGCATTTCAAGGCGTGTGCAACGTCTTGCTTTCTTAGCATGAAGTGTAAAACGTGTAGTGTTTCATCTATTCAATAATTAATTAATGTCACTGTGGTACAAATGTATAATTTTTCATTATGCATTATTCTATGAGGCAATGAATCACCTTTGCCAGGCGATCTGGAGGAACCTTTCACACAAAGCAATATAAAATATCACTGTTTCCAAGTCTCAATCCATATCACCAAAGTTTTACCCCTGACTATTACCATATACATTCATGCACACTCTCCCATATCTTTACACATACACACAAGTTTATCTCGAACCTTCGAGATTACGCTCGAGAGAACTCTCCTGTCAACGTCTTCCTCTAACTCTGACCTTTAAGTCTTGTCCAAATAGGGTGTAAACTTTCTTCTGCAATCAAATGAACCCTAGCTGAACTGTGTTAAACGAGATTAGGAATTGGTATCTGCTGCAAGTCTAAACATTATCCGAAGGCCTTTTAAGTATTGAAATACAAGGAAAACTTAGTGCCCCAAATAGAAGTTCAGAGACAACCATTTTAAATATGCAATTTGGGAAGTTGAAACTGATGACAACTGAATCATAAATTGACATATTTAAGTTCAGATCGAGCTTAGATTCCCAAGTTTCCGAATCAAAGAGAAGACTAAGGAGATGTCTGCCTTTCAGCACCGGAAACTACAGTTTTTGCTTTCCCTTACCTTCGGTGGGTTTCATATTGGAGGTCATATGCTTACTTATAAAGAGAGCATTTCCTTAACGAATACAAGCGTTCCTAACAAATTCCCTACACAATTAAAACGCATTCCCTATAAATTAATATTGATCTTCGCTACCACACTGATATGACTGTAAAGTAATGTTGTTGTTAACGTATTCTTGTAGTATTTTAGGCTAGGCCTAGGAAATAAATAAACGCGTAAATCTTAATGGTACCGATTAAGACAACTGAACCTCAGTAATCGAAAATGTTGCAAACTAGCATCTTATTTCACTCAGAAAGTTTCTAGCGGTTATTTTTACTCATCATCGGAGCACTAAATTATGCAAGCACAGTAAATATAAATATGCTAAGGAAAGCTGCCAAATTTGTTGCAAACTATGAGCTAGACACGCTTTATTAAGCCAAGTAAAAAACTACTCGAAGTTTTGTACAAGAAGTGTTCAGATACAGAGAGATGTTACTCAGTTACCTCACAATTATCGTAGAAATTATCGACACAGTCGATAGCATCCCTTATCCGATCGTACATTTCAGCAATTAATTTAATGCTTTCAGCAGAGACGGGGACTTTCTTGATAGGCAAGTAGGGACAGTAGGACTCATAGATGTTGATGCCACGAGATTCAAGACTCTGTCGCACTTTGTCCACGTTGTTCACTTCGCAGTGGAACTAAAACAAACAACACTACTTACTAGAAACTCAGTAAAACTTTAACTCTAGGCTGTAAGACGAAATTCAGCAAGGCTTACGAAAGAACAAATAATTTAGCTAAGCAAATATCTTAAAGACGGGGTGTGCGATAGACTTACCTCCACGTGGTGCACCCTGGGCAACGTATATTCATACGGCAAAAAGTCCATCAAATGGCAGTTGACTTCTCACGTCAAACTACCACCCCCTCACTCTATGCCATATTCGACTATTTCACAGTACTCACCTCACCTTTTTTCTACCTTTGTGTTTGTCTCTTACATCTTTGAAACACTCTTCTGTTTCCCTCTCTCGAGTATTTTCAATTTGATGTTCCTTCCCCTCTGTGAAGCCTGAAGTCAACTAAAGGGCTAATGATAACCATCAAGACGCCTGCCATTCGATATAAACAATATCTTAAAGACTAGTAGCATCACCCCAAAATA